CGGAGTTGCCTAGATTGTCTAGCAAAGTCATTGCACCCCAGTAATCTCTGCCAGCTTTGCCCAACCACACAACAACTTCATCGGCTTTTGCATATATTTGACTCATAAGTGAAACTTGCGCATTGCGCTCATCAAAGTCTTCTTGATTGATGCATACAGCATCCACCCATAGATAACGCCGCCGACTCCGCAAGCGAAGAGCTTCTAGTGCCGCAAATAAGTTGTCTCGCACATAGCAATCTGTATTATCAATCTTGATTGTTTTGTTTGCAGGTAGATCACCCCATGCATAAGATAATGCCTCATATTTAACATTGGTGAGCAGAGAAACATGAATAAATTCATACTTCTGGCCACTGGAGCCGGCGCATGGAAGAATCAGAAGGCGAATATGTTCTCTATCAACATCCAATGGTTTATAGGAAGGTTTGGAATCCCTTACGGGCGTATAGTGATTTAGATCTGTAGAAAACGGGGAATTTGAAGTGTCGATTGAAGGGAGTGAAGGTAATGTGCAACCATTGATTGGCATTATTGACACAATTGTTTCTTCCAAAGGCCCACTAGGAGCCGAAGAAGGTGTGGTTTTATGCATAGCTAATCAATGCTGTAAACTCGAACCAATTAGATTTGATTCATCTATTGCCAATGGTAAGTTTTAACCAATGGTCTAAGTTCATTTGTCGAGCTCTGGGCTAGGAGATTCAAAAAGATGCAGTCGGAATTATTGGATAGAATCTTCTCAACATCACCAGTTGAATCCGAAAGGTTAAGAGATTCATTTATCATAACTATGGGTTGAAGTATACAATACACAGCTTCTGACGAAGTTGAAGATAAAATCGTCGCATATAAAAGCAATAGTGAGATTCTAGAAAATTCGGTGTTTGAATGACAGCCTTGCAGATGCATCACTAGCGTGATTCATATTATACAGGTCACATGTTGTATTAATGGCGATTGTTTGACAGGTGAGTTCAACAAAGTCCAAATGCTCCTACCAATGTTCACATCCACGACTCAAGTATTACTTATGAAGCTCAAAATCTTCAATTCTGGTCCCGCATCACTTGTATCATATTGAGCTTATACGAGTCGAAGACTGTTACTGCCGGTAAGTTCAAGTAGTTTGATTCCATTCGAGATCTCACAAAGCTCGGTTTGACCCCTTTCACCGCACAGTATAAAGACTATATAACACGGTGTAATCAGGATACACCACCATGCTGTGAACAATTAGTTCAGACGACTGTATGAAGATAAAGGTGTCAGAGCTTGCGATATGAAATAAGACCTCAAATGAAGATTGCATGTCTTTCGCAGTGATAATATATGTTTGTTCACCCAGAAATGATACACCAGGTATTGGATACCAGGTGGTAGCCTGTTTATAAGATCTTTTATTCTCCAAAACGCCGGATCAACATGTCGACTTCCCACACCGCTGATCTCAAATATGCTACTATCAATATTGTATCCTCCGAAACCCAGCCTCAAGCTTAATCGAACTGAAGGCATTACATTAGTTGATGTCGGAAAATTTCACAGGATGACTTACTGGTGTTAAGAACGATTCTGCAACGAATCTTGCGCGAGCATTCAACTATTGTCTGTCAGCGACCGATCTGATCAAGGGGAAGGTAAAACTCACAAATAGCTTCATCTCCGAGATTTCCTTATCAACCTCCTCCATAAATTCTATGATGAAGTCCACCAGCTTGTGCTTTAACATCTCCTCTGTGTGGAAATTCGTGATTAAAAACGAGATATCGTAGCCCTATTCAAAATCAGCCTCCGGCCCTTGCACATCCAAATCTGCCACCCACCTTGACGGGTTTCCTCCTGAGAATGAAGAATGCTTCTGCTCGTTGAGTCAAGAACCTGGTAAATTTGTGTACGAGAATGTGCTCAATTTCGTCCGCTTGTTTGATGTTGATACTGATTCGGACACTGTTGATACTGGGTTCAATGAGAACCCGTTCATTCTCATTCCGTGCGACTGTCAATGAATTTAATAGAACTTCCGGTGAAGTCTTAGCTTCAATTTCGGGCACATTGTGTCTTTCGGAGGTCTGGGATGCGAAGTTCGAGAGACACAGAGCTGCTGTCAAGGAGGATCGTACGCATTGAAGGTAAGGTCGCAATGATTGAGACTGCAAGAATTAGTTTAGTAAAATTCTGCCATTCATAAACTCCTTGAGCTATAATGATAGGAAGTTCAGATTGCTACATACCATCTCGTTGATGTTTCTTATTTCAAATGCCTCCTTTCAATGAGAAGATGTCATCAACAGTACCAACCAGCCGTACGTGTTGTCGATGCTTTGGTGGGGCTTTCTCTAATAGTCAAGGAGTCAAGCAGCCCCGGACGGAAAAAGCCGCACAGGCGAAGGAAACCCGCCAACCAAATATATTTCACCTTCTTTAATAATTTATATCAAATCGGATAATAATTATTTTGAGTTGAAATTTGCAGAAACGCAATTTGAGCCTGCTATTTCATAGTATACGCAATAATTCAATCTCCAATATCTTGAGTGGTCTTGAGTAACATAAACTTTACCAAGACATCAAGTGTTTTAATCATTCACTTGAGTTGGTAATCGGGTTACATGGTGGAGTCAGGCATCCCACAAAGCTACGTAAGGCGCGCTAAGGGAACCGTCCCGTTTGCTAGGTATTTATCTCCAAGTCTACCTTCCACCTATCCTTCTTTTTTCCTATTGTCTCAATAACTTCACACAACGTGAGCCTCTCATCATCATGTCGAATATACCGATCATTATCAAGCATCAAGGCAAGAAATATGATATCGAGCTCGATCCTACGTCCAACGGCGAAACACTAAAATATCAGCTCTATTCTCTTACTGGAGTTGAGCCAGAACGACAAAAGATCTTGGTTAAAGGCGGGCAACTTAAAGATGACACCGATCTTTCGAAAATCGGCGCCAAGCCAGGACAGACATTTTTGATGATGGGAACGCCTGCAGAGGGAGGAACACTTTCTAAGCCAAAGGAGCCCATAAAATTCGTTGAAGATATGACCGAAGCAGAAGCTGCACAACAAGTTGGAGCAACACCAGCTGGATTACAAAATCTGGGAAATACATGTTATCTCAACTCAACATTACAAACTCTCAGAGCGATTCCAGAGTTGCAAGATAGTCTGCAAAAGTTCACACCAACTGAAGCAGGTTCCAACAACATGCTCAATGCATTCCAACTCAGTCGACCCCAATCGCTCGATATGACAGCTGCGATGCGAGATTTATACATGCAGATGTCAGAAACTCAAGAGGCGTTTCCGCCACTCATTTACCTCAACGCTCTACGACAAGCCTTCCCACAATTTCAAGAAAAAGCCAAGAATGGCCACGGATATGCACAACAAGACGCTGAAGAAGCTTGGACGCAAATCCTCCAGGTACTACGATCAAGCTTGAAGATTGATGAAGGTGGAAACACAGAAGGATCTTCATCTACATCGGTCTCTTTTGTTGACAAATATATGGCGGGAGCATTCCAATCTATCACGGAGTGTGATGAGCAAGGTGCAAAGGACGCAGGCGAACAACCAATCAAGGGGAATGATGTTTTCTTGAAGCTAGATTGCCATATCACTGGCGCAACTAATCATCTTCGAGATGGACTGGTTGCGGGATTGGAGGAAAAGATTGAAAAGAGATCTGAAGTCCTTGGTCGCGATGCCATTTACACCAAAAAATCCAAAATTTCACGCCTTCCCAAATACCTTACTATTCATTTCGTTCGATTCTTCTGGAAACGCGAGGCTCAAAAGAAAGCAAAGATTATGCGCAAGGTTACATTTCCTCATGAATTAGACGTAGTAGAATTCTGTACGGATGAGCTCAAGCAAATGTTGATCCCGGTTAGGGATAAGGTTCGTGAGGTACGAAAGGAAGAAGAAGATATCGAACGTGCTCGCAAGCGTCAAAAGCGTATCCACGATAAAGAAGAAGCTGACAAGAAAGCTGACCTCGTCGATGAAGCCTCATCTTCCTCGAAGAAAGATGAGAAGAAGGAGACCAAGGCTAAAGACGGCGATACCGAAATGGAGGATGTTGTTTATAAGACCGACGCGGAGATTGATGCGGAAAAAGCTGCTTCGATCTTGGAGGCAAAGAAGGAGTTGAACGCGTTAATCAATCCAGAGCTTGCCAAGGATGACGGAGCCAACAAGTCTGGTCTTTACGAACTTCGTGGTATTGTTACCCATCAAGGTTCTAGTGCGGATAGCGGTCATTACACTTCATATGTGAAGAAGCAAGGACCACTCGACCGTAAGACTGGTGTACGTGGTGAGGAAGATGGAAAATGGTGGTGGTTCAACGATGACAAGGTTTCAGAGGTTGATGCTGAGAAGATTGCTACTCTTGCTGGTGGTGGAGAATCTCACTCTGCGCTGATCTTGCTCTATAAGGCTATCCCATTACCTACTGCTGAAGGTATCAACCAATAAATTCGGGAGTTTTCCATTGTACTTCAAAAGCAAATGGCATACATTATAATTACATAGTTGATACAATGAGAGTAATCACACAATAAAATTCTTTCAAACGATGAGAGCAATTGCCCAATGAGAGTAATATCTAAAATGAGAAAGGTTCGTTTCATGAGAGTGATTTAACGCCATTGGAGTAATTTATCACACAGCGCGAGTATTGTGTTGTCATCCCGTAATTACTTCAGCCTCAAATGCACTAAGACCCCATCTTCGATTATAGAATCTTCAAGCATAACAACGAAGAAAATAACTCTCCGGCCAGCAGACATAATTGTATCACAACCCTCAAACATTCGGAGACATGTTTCCATGTTTCCATCCCTCCCCCTAGCCCCTTATCCCGTCTAATCCCAGTACATCAAAAAGTCCCCGAAAGCTCTCCGACAAGCGAGATCTTGATTCTTTCGACCCCACTATGGTCACACCCCCACTAAAGCTCGATAAATCTAAGATATAAATATCACGAACATTGTCCTGAGTTCTGAAACTTTCTTCTTTGTAGAAAAAGATAGATTTTCATGATTAGAAGTTATAATCATATCCTACTTGTTGTTTTGTTATCATTCATTCTCGAATATCATTTGAGTGAGATTGGGACTGGAAAGTTTGAGTTTAGAATTGGGATTTTTGAGAAGATTTCTACGTTGGAGATGTCGGAGCATAAACATGACGGGGATGTGACGGAAAAGAATAGAGAACATTGGGAGTGGGTATTTCCTGTTGGTTTGGAGAGTGTATGATGAGGAAACAGGATCGTTCTTTCATGCGCTGGTCCCATGTCTGGTGGGATGAAGATGTTTTTCTCTGGCAACCGCAGCGGCTATTACTTCTTGTCTGGAATCAGTGTTCACGAGATCGAGAAGATTTGTATTCTCCTATAATCATGGATCACATGCATTCCCCTACATTTTTCCATCCCCTCACTTCCTCCCCCAATCACACTAACTCCAACCCAGCACGCACGCCTCAACCTACGACACACGTTTCCAGAAAACCGCCGACCAACTAATCTCCATCATCCAAGAACCCCGCACCCTTTCTTTCATCGGCGCCAACTGGATCACCGAGACCTCTCCCCCATCACACACCATCAAACTCCTCGACTACGCCTGCGGCACCGGTCTCATCACCCGTGCTCTCCTCCCCACCATCACCCGCGCCATCGGCATCGATCTCTCTTCCTCCATGGTATCGCAATACAACGCGCGCGCCTCCAACCAGGGACTTTCTCCATCCGAAATGTTTGCGCATCAGGGAAACTTGCTTTCCTCTGAGCCGGCCCCGGAATTGGAGAGCGAAGAGCTATATCAATTTGATATTGCGTTTGTGGGGTTGGGATTTCATCATTTTTCGAATCCGTCGTTGGCGGCGAGGAAGATTGGTGAGAGGTTGAAGAAAGGGGGGATTTTGGCGGTGGTGGATTTTGAAAGTCATGATGGGTATGGGAATCCGAATGGTCATGGACATCATCATGGACATGGACATGGACATGAACATCATGAGGAATTAAATGAACAAGCTCAACAAGCGAAGGAAACAGTTACTCATCATGGATTTTCTGAGGAGGAAATCAAGAAGATCTTCGTAGATGCGGGTGTGGGTGCGGATTTCGGGTATATGGTATTGGGGAAGGGAATTGTGTTTCATGGAACTGGGGTTGAGGGAGGGAGAAATGATATGAAGAGGGCGGTTTTTATGGCGAGAGGTGTCAAGTTGTGAAAGATTGTTTGTGACAAGTAGATTTTCGAAGAGTCAAGAGAGGACATGGATAGTTTGAAAGGAAGATGATTGAGTGCTGGAAGCTAGATTGTGAAGTGCGTGATGTGCAAGAAATAGATTTGGCAAAGTGATTTCGAGGGAACCTTTCTGGAATCTGAATACCTAAGCATGGTAAACAGACATCCCAAACACCATCAAACTTCCACCTCAAACCCTCACATCTCCATGCCTACAAAAGAACACACACATCATATCCTAGGAAATCACTGTGCAAGTTCAACAGGCCTTTCAATTTCGCATCTCTCAAACTTTCCCTCCCTTGTACTACAACTACAACAACATCTGCATTTTTAATCTCGAACATTTTTCAAACTTCCATACTTTCCTTATCCAATTCCACAAAAAAAATAAAAAATTCTCCCACATATCTCCATACAACCATCACTACAAAATCAAAAACCCGATCTCACGATACACAGCTGTATGTATATGTATAATTAGGTGTGTATACATGGAGGATTTGTATATTCTAAACTAGAAAGTATATCTGCTTACCTGCCTACCAACTTATTTTACTTACACAAATCCCTCATCCCTCATTCCCTCTCATTCTAAAATCCCAAATCAACCTGCCTTCCAAAGTTCTTTTACAATTTCTATAGCCTTAACCACCACCACGGTATAAACTAATCATGGGATACCAAACCTTTATTTCTCATCCCATATCCCCCATCAAGCCCTATCCCTATCCTCGATTCATCACCCACCAAGCCACCCCTTTCTCTACAATCCAAACACACAACTCTCAGCACCTTGCTCCTTAGCCCTTAAACCCAACACTACATATCATCCAATCCTTCAATAATCCATTTATCAAAATACAAAATCCCAAGTATCAAAATATCAAGCTCCAATACTCACAGCCACCAATCTCCCTTCACAAATCACATACCCCAAATCAAACCGCCCCTCAAAATGCTTTCACAATTTCTTGACCCCTATACACTAAATAATCACTCCAATATAGCTAATCGTCCATCATTCATTATTTACTATTCCCCATCAATCATCCTCCATAACTCTACTATCCCTCATAATCTCTCGTTCTACTTCCTCATCCCTCTATTATCTCTTACCAACCTCTATCACCTTTTCCAATCCTATATTCTCCCCTATCAACCCCTCAGCCCTATTCCCGACCCATCCCCTATCACCATCTAAACCGCTCCTCCTCTCTCTCTACAATACAAACAAACAACACACAATCCTCAGCCATAAAAACCCAAAATCACCACATCATCTGTTTAACAAAAACCAACCGGAATCGAAATCGAAACCCCAACATCCACACTCCTACCTACTCACACTCACTTACCTATTTCGCCTAAAATTCAAACCCAATCCCAATACTCAGCCACACCTCCATATACCCACCATAAACCTATCCTCCAATCTATACTCAAACCCATACTCAAACCCAATACCCAATACCCACCAACTCACATCTCCCTCCACAAACCCATACAAAAACCAATCCAGACCCAGACCAACACACATAATCCCACAGTCGCAATCCCCCAAAAAATCACCTATACCATCTCATCATCTCATCACCCCAAAGCGCTCACCCACATGATCTCGCATCTCAAACATCTTCATCTAATTCATCTAGCTAGTGAAGTTTGACTCCCGATGATACACTATATATATATATATACCTGAAATCCGTCTCTCTTTTATATAATTACCATTATATATTTCTCAACGAAATAATTAAATGAATGGATGATATAAGATAATTAGAGATAAAACGAGATAAAATAAGATGATACTCATTTGTAAGACTATCCTCCTATCTATAGAAATATATAGTATAGTTAGAAGATCGAAAACGAAAGAGTAAAGGGTTGAGTAATGATATAATAGTGTTAGAAATAAGAAAGAATAATCATCCTAAAAGATAGGAAGGAAGTTACAGATAGAGAGGGTGAAACCTCTATTTTGAAGATCACTCTACTACCCTCGTTTGACATCTCCTACATACATACACATACATCATCTCATTTACAATCGCACTCGCAATCACCCACAATCGACAATCCGAAATGTTTTCAATTTTTTTTATTCTTTTATTCAATAAACTAAAAATAACGTAACTACTTTCAACTAAAATCCATGTCTACAAATACTACCAACAAAGTCGCTGGCAACCATTTCCGATAGTTCGTATCATGAATCCAATTGAACTCCCATCCAAAAGCATTCAATCCACGACCCTAATCATTCATGTTGCAACATTATAAGCTTATACAAACTTCAATCCAAGCAAAACTCGATACACCAAGCCAAACCCCTTCAACCCATAAGATTTTATGAGATCTCTCGCCTCCCATTTTTATAGATGCAAGACTAAGAGAACCAAGGTGGAGGCCCTATGTGGTCAATCATTCCCACGCCGTGCCTTACCCAAGAAGAGTAATGTTTTGAGATCTTGAAATAAAAAAAATCGGACAGTGTACGCCAGAACAAAAACATAACAATCAAAAAGCCTCCTGCCCAAACCACCACCCATCCATGTCTCCTGAAAGAGTCCACCCTGGGAATCCCCAAACGAAAAAGCATCCAAGATAACACCTGAAAAATAATGATGCCGTGAGGCAAGCCTATCCCTTTCTATTTATTTTCGAAACCGGCAACCAACTCCGATCCCCAGATGAATGGCCTCACTAACATGAGGTTTTTGTTCGTTCTCTCTTTGATTTCGTAAATAGAATGTAACAGCTTCCGTTCTTTGCCTTGTTCTCAAAGCCGGGAGTATTGTTGTATCGTGGGAGGGTGAAAGTGTGGAAGAAAAAAAAATGTAAATGCAATAATTGAAAATGAATACAAGATAAGAATACTCAAGGTTCTGGCATGGACAAGTCCTGATAGAAAGGAGGAAAAACATGCGAATAAGGATATATTCCAGTCTTGGGAATACTATCTAAGAATAGAATATTCGGATCAATATACAATAATGATCAGCCAGCTGGTTCTAGCAATAAAGTTTCTTTGGCGCACCACAGATCAACCTTCAGACAAGTAGAATTTCAAGAGGAGATATCACTAATGTGTGAGATTTCTTGAAATTCAAACAATAGTCTTCTAAGGTCTATTACTACCCAAACGTCTGAGCATATCTCGGTCAACATCACTGTCATCGGGTTCCACAATATTTGCGATGTTCATCTGATTAGGACGTTCAGTTTCTCTTGCCACTCGATCATAATTTCCACCTCCAGAGTTTGTTCTAGCAGGGGATGCTAGAGGAAATTGAGCAGACTCGGATCGATAAGGAGATACCTGACTAGGTTGGTGATGGCCGCTTGGATTCTGGGAATGAAATGATGACGATGAACCATTCGGAGAGGGATTATTTCGTGGTGCTTCATTCGAGTTGACCGAGGCCCATTGGGTCGATTGTCGACCATCTTCCATAGGTCGGTATGCTAGAGCGTTCTCTCCTTGTTGGTGTCCATATTGGCGAGTAGGAGTGGATTGAACGAAGGCACGATGTTGGTATTGCTCTTGAAGGGATGATGATATGCGGGACGGAGCATTATTCTCTCGGCTGTATCCGGAGAACTGACCAGGGGCAGGTGGCGCCGCTCTAGCAAAGTGGTGCTCATCTGCCTCGCGCTTACGCTTTTGAGAATCCAATGAGCCTGTCGGAGAGGGTAAGGTATTACCCTGATCATATGGTGATCTGTTAGGCAAAGAAGGGAGATGTGTTAAAGGTGTTTGTCGAGGTATTGAGCCTGTCGGAGAGGGTAAGGTATTACCCTGATCATATGGTGATCTGTTAGGCAAAGAAGGGAGATGTGTTAGAGGTGTTTGTCGGGGTATTGAGCCTGTCGGAGAAGGCAAGGTATCCCGATCATGAGGCGATCTGTTCATAGGTGGGAGATGTGTTGGGTGAACACGCTGTTGCATATGTTGGGGCGCATATTGGGCGGCATTTTGTGGCGGATAATGGGCCACCTGCTGTGGCATTTGTTGATGATTGTATGGCATTTGTGGCCCGGGCGCGGCTTGTTGTGGATGATATCCTTGATACGGTTCCCCAGGGTTTTGATTCGTGGAGTCACCTGGCAGTCGTTGCCCGTGAGCACCAAAAACACCCGGATTTATATCTCTGCCATTAAGCGCCTCAGTCAGGGCAATAAGAGGTACAAATGCCTGTGCTGAGGATACAGGAGTAAAAACACATTCCTGTTTGAAGCGGGCACAATTAGTACATTGGCCTCCGGAGCCATCAGCGGTAAAACCTGAGCAACGAATCTATTTATGACGTCAGCATTGTTCTGATCATTTTTGTAGTAATTTATGAAACCTCATATTGAGCTTTTAGAAGGGGGGGGGGGGGCTGAACATACCTTGCGTCTTCTGCAATATTTGCATGCGATTGCGGTTCTTTGCCTAGGAGCACTCTGTCTTAGAGGCGGTTGTGCAGCAGGAGGTTGATCTTGTGGATATCCTCTACCGTCATGATAAGGATAGTGAGATGGATGAGGGAGTTGTTGTTGTGGATAGCCTCTGTTATCTTGATAAGAATGATGAGACGGTGCAGCAGGGTGTTGCTGTTGCGAATAGCCTCTTTCATCATTATAAGAATGGTGTCGAGTTGGAGGAGGGGGTTGCTGTTGTGGGTAGCCTCTACTATCCTGATAAGAATGGTGTCGATATGTAGGAGGAGCAGGAGGTTGTTGCGAATAGTCTCTACCATCACGGAAAGAATGGTGGGGAGGTGCATCATATCCTGCCGGCATGGATCTGCCACTTTGAACAGGCTCCTGATACTGTCCAGAATAATTTGGTCCATTATTTGCATAGGGACGATAGGGTTCTTGGTAGGCAGATGGACGAATGTTTGAGTCCCAACGTTGTGCTACACTGTACGAGCTAGACGTTTCGATTGCGGGGTATTGGCCTTGGGGGTATGTTTGATGCGGGGCGCGATTGTCTGAAACTTCTTGGGAAACATGGCTTATATGACGTAACACACGATCATCTAGGACAATCTGATGGTCACGGCGAAGATCTTCCAATATGCTCAGCTGAGAAACACCTCGGGTAGCATTGCGAGAATATCGCGATTCATTATTTGATGCATATGCTAGGGGGTTTTCTGAATCCGCTGGGCGGGAGGGATATAAATTGGATCTGCCACCTGCTGGTGCATGTTGCGACATGGAGTTATCTGGAGCAGTTTGAGGGCGACTGACAGGATACGGCAATCTATTATCTGTTGCATAAGCTACCGGATTGTCCCAAGCCGTTGAGCGGAAAGAATGATCAGGTGCAGCGCTTGCTGGTGTATGTGGTACCGAAGCGTCTCGTACAGCTGGAGGGGGAGAACGATTCGCGCCGCTTGTTGGTGTATGTGTTACCCCAGTGTCTTGTCCAGCGGGAGGGAGAGAACGATAATTGCCGCTTCTTGGTCGTAGATGACGGGGAATGACTTCCGGCCCATTGTGGAGATGAGACGGATGTGTAGACATAGTGTCAGGAATCGAGCTCAGTGGTGCCAAAGTGCTTGCTGGTGCAAGTGTCGAAGTTGTGATAGAATTGACGCGATCCAGAACATCTTGACTCGAAAAATCCGGATAGAGAGGTAAACGAGTTGAAAGGTGAGCTGTCTCCCCTACTGATGAAGGTTGAACCGACTGATGATGATTGGAGGTTTCTTCTCGAGAGACTCGTTGATGCGTTGGTGCAGGTCTGATGTTTTGATTAAAAGAGTGCGACATTTGGAGCCAAAGCAATGATAGGTTATGTGTGTTGTGTGTTGTATACCGACAGAGTTTGTTAAAGAAGGCAATCTATATTTTTGGGACAGCCCAGCTGCAAATTGTTGCGTGGATGTGAAGAATTGAAGGAATTAAGATTACTATCGTTAAAGGGGAGGGGAGAGAAGTGAAAAAAATGTTGGTGGAAAGCGGAGGAGGAATGAAGGGAAGCTGATTCTTTTTAAAGTCCCAGAAAGCAATTCCCGATAGAAGTTTGGTAAGTAGTAAGTAGTAAGTAGTAAGTAGTAAGTCGTATGTAGTGAGTAGAGTTGGTGGATGAACGACCGGAAAGATTGGGAGACGATTGACTTTCTCACTAGTCAAAGAAGACTAATGCTGAAATAAATATTTCCCCACTTGGTATCGAATAGACACTAAGGAAATGTATTGTGAATAAAGTTTTATCCAAATACTTTATTCTCCGAATTGAACAAGTCACGTAAGTGAGGTAAGCCCAGGCAGTAAGTCGTGTGTGAGAGTGTTGTGTGTGAGTGTGTGTGTGTGTTGTGTTGTGTTAGGCCGAATCCGGTAGCAATTCTTGAACTCTGTGTTAGTGGCCAAAGTCTCTCAAAGCACGCCAATGGCGATAGTCGTAGAAGAGGATCTAGTCCCCAATAGGAATTTAAGAAGTTAAAAATCGCGTAGGATTAATAGTAAATGCTACGACTCACATCCCACTAGTCAGGTTGGGGCGTGTGGTAAGTAGTAGTAGTAGTAATAGTAGTAGTAGTTCGTCCTTTAAACTGGATTGATAACTGTCCTCGGGTCGTTGGGCTTGACCTGACTTGCCCTTTTCGGAGAAGTAATAAACTGGCCTGACCGTTGTGGTGGGACCGGGATCTCAAAAATCGATTTCCCTGCAGTCCAGAGTTCCTGGGTTGGAGGGGTAAAGAAAGATGGAGGGGCACGGGGATATGATTCGTACCAGACGATTTCAACTTTCTTCAACCAATCCTGGGCACTCGTATCCTTCTGTCAAGTAAACCAAGCACAGGAAGCATCCGCCTTTAGTGTGTGTGTGTGTCGTGCCTTTCCGTAATTCGGGATGTGAACAGTATATTTTATATCGAGGTGTCAAAATAGTAATGATATACACGGAGAATCTTTGAACATCGACTTCAATGATTCCGAGGTAACAAAGTGGTATCAATGTGAGATTTGGATAAATTATACGACCGTGCAGCTGTGTACCGGAATGTACCAAAGGAGCAGGAGCAGGAGCAGGAAGAGGAAGAGGAATAATTGACGATTGGGGCTAGATAAAACACAATACGGTAACGCGATTCGAATTGATGACTACCGAGTAGGCAATTGAGAGTACCTAGATAGATAGATACCTCTGTGGCTGAGTAGGTAGGTAAAGACTTGGAGATCGCCGGCAATGGCGCCGTTCACAGTGTATGTTGGAAATTGTTGCCGTTGTACCTTATTAATGAGGATGCCTAAGTATTGTCGCTCAACTGGTTTGGCTCAGAGCGCATTCAACCAGTCAATGATTCTGAACAATTAGTATTAGCGACGGTGAGTTAAAAAAGAACCCATGCGCCACAGCGAGTGTGTTTTCGTTCCAAAGACTATCACTATCCTTGGCAAATACACAATGATATTTCCACTTATGGTAATTGTAGGCCACAACTGCAATCTTGGCACGTGAATGATCGATAGAGGCTCGAACTCTTCTGTGACGAGAAAGTTTAAGATCGCCCAGCAGTACTTTTTGTGGTTGAGTCTTCTCTAGAGTCGAAATGGAGCCGGCAGTATTTTTAACGTAAAGAATGACTGACTTTTCTCTTAAAATGCACTGCCCCTGTTGAAAATCCTCTAGTCGATGGCACTATAACGATATAGACCCCGTTGTGAGCCCAAAGCCTATCGACGTTGCCCTTAGAATATGTATATATCTTCAAAGCTGATGGAAGAGGTAGCCTAATAAATTCAAGCCATCCACATAAGAAGTTTCAAACGATGAGGGGGTGAATCTATTGTTTGATTGAATTTTCTGCTTGGCATATAAGACCTGGTCCCGCAACCTGATCAGACGGCGCGTTACTAGTGGGATGGATCCAGACGAAGAATAGATGTAGCTCAACTAGTCGTGGGCAATCTGCTTGTTGGTCAACTAGTGACTCGAGACTTGGCTCGAATCTCAGGATATTGCGGATGGAATCCAGTCTGATCTACCCGTTTTGTGTAAATAGCTTGCGGGATTTGTTCAGATCAAGAATGGTATCGGAAGAATGATCGGAAAACTTTCAGATGTGATAAATTCCAAATTTAAGAGGACTATGACGTTGGGTGCTTCGCACTATGAAATTCAATGCGACGATCGTCCCTTAGCAGCGCCGTGGACCAATATCTGCCTAGTGTGAACCGTTGAATATATTGTGGATCTATGATCAACGGCACAACTTCCATATGAAGTTCCTATTGCGTGAAAGAAGACGTATACGGTACGAGCCCTTGGTCTCTGAGTTTGACAGTTGCGAGGGTTCAAATTCTTTTGGGATTGTCATGCGATGGAATGAACTGCTATGCGACAAATTTGATGAGCCAATCTCTCCCTCAAAATGTGATCTATGTTATGAACTTGGAAGAGAATGGAATTGCCTCGGATATGGTTTAATTGAACTACTAGATAGCCTGACCACCGAAGAAGAAACTCTAGTAATATTCAATACGTTGATGTAGTGATTGATCAACGAAAAGAGAACTGAGGTTAGGTGTGGATAGGGTGACTTTAGTCTGGTAGATAGTCTATTCTGGATCTGACAAATTACTAATTTCAAATCTCAGAGCAGGAATGCAGTTTGACTTTTCTTGGAACCGGAATCAGAAGAAGAACCGGGCACCACCATTGTGAAAAAGTGACGCGAGCGAGGGAAGTGAGACGGGGAACTATGGTCACCGTCCTTGAAAGTGTAATGGAGTTAAGAGGTAGATGAGGAGGATGGTCTTCGGAACCCAACTGTATAACAATCGGGTAGGGAAATGTATAACGGCGAACAGGTATACCGTAGGAAACTTTGATAACGAAAAAGAGATCTAAGCAAAGTGGTAAAAGTAGAAGAACTTGACGAGTAATGGTAAGAGAGAGTGGTGATGAGAACCAAAGAGAGAGTCCCAAAGTGGGTATCAAAAGGTGTTCTTACAGACGACAGAATATCCGATGAGTCTTGACTAGGTACTTGGGAAGTTTCCTCTTCCTTTTAGCTTCCTCCTTGCTTTGGTCGAAAGGAAATTGTGACTCTTCATGCGCTTTGCCGACCACAGCTACCAATTCCGATTGCGATGCCGCGACAATGATTCAACCTTCTTGCCTTGCCGTGCCGTGCCTTGCCTTGACTTGCCGTCCTCTCAGCAAAGCCTCCTTCTCTAGGTAAGCAATAAACCCCCGGATTTATTCCTCCTATTCTACACAAATTTTCAGAAGAAAAGGATTATAAAATGTGATATTCCATTCCAAAAGATAAGTTCAAAGTTTTGAAATCAAAAACCTAGACGAAAAATTGCGTTGCTCAATCGTCCTCCTCGTTCGTGAGGGATTGTTCTGCTGTGTTGTGTTGTATTGTGTATTGCTATTGTTATCAAGTTGTCGCAAGCGCTAAACATACAACCATCGAAATTGTTCAATTTTCAACCGTATGATGATGGGATTGGTTCTTCTTGGATCTAATGTCTCGGATTTCGTAAATTGCTAACATTTGTTGTGTTTTTGTTCAGTTGTGCTGCTGTCCTTTAGGTTGTGTTTAGTATGTTTAACAACTCTCGGCTTTGAATACAACAATATCGATAAGGCGATGTTGCGATACACGCAGTTCTAAAAGCCAAGTTACATATATGTCAACTCGGGATTTTCCTGGGAACAAAAATTCACTTCCTTCAGGCGGCGACCAATCCTCATGGGTCTTGTATCAAATGTAGGTAGGTCTGGTGGGTAGGATGATAAAAGAGCTCAGGTAGGGGGCGGAAGGGGAATGAGAAGCATGGGATGAGATGGGATGAGATGGGATGGGTACCGGGTAGAATGTGGACTATTCGGGGAAACGTGGGAATGGAGAAAGCGTAATTATTTAAGTGGATATGAATCCCTTCCCAACATGGGCCGTTGAACTCGATTTGACTTTTTTGTTGACGTTTCTAGAAATCTTGAAATGACAATGTGTTGATGCTGGTACTTGTTGGCAACTGGCCTTGCTTGAACCAAACCTCCGAAATTGGGCCTCGTTTCTCTCCAAATTATTCGCTTTTTCTTTCCCCAAAAATTAGATAGCTCTCACGCATTCTTCTGTTTGGTTGAAAACAATTCTTTGGGGAAATGGTGGCTGGGTTTACTTGCTTCTCGCATACGACCCAACTTGATGACCCCAGTAGTCTGACGGCGCGGAATCCCTGAATCAATTTCGAATTGAATCCAACCAACAGCCCTGCCAATAAAGCGTTTCTTCCACCTGCAGTACTGGTTACTGGTAAAGTTGGAGATGCAAGGGTCTATTGAAGACGTACCCGCCGAAGCATCCGCAGCAACACAAACTCAGCCTTTTGGCTCGATCTTTGTGATAAGCAAATAGAGTGTACGACTCGGTAGAATCGACCGAATGTTCTTTCACAACGTTGGGTTTAGTTTGACAACGGGTCGGGATGAGACGTGGCGTACTAGGTATGTACGATCAAACCGTGTACAATGGTTTGAACATCATGCTATTCACTAGATATGTATTATTGGGTGCAAAGGAAGAGGCTGTGTAAAGGGATATATTTCTCATAGCTGATCACACTAATTAGGGAAAAAGGAAATATACCTTGAGGCGAAAAGCCAAAAGGTAGACGTGCATATCTTCTCCATTGAATGGTATGATGGCATATTCTATCGACTGTATGATTCTCTCCACAATTTATTAATGTATGAAGATACCTTAAACACATTTGCAATATGCTACCTCCTGCAGCTACCACCTCTTAGCCCACATTCCTCGAGGGTCGGCAGCCAAGGGCCGCGCCGTTTTCAAACGCTTAGACACGCGCGCGCTGTCACTTGAGTATTATTATTTGTCTGAGTCTAGACTTACGCGCTTCAAGGCCTCGTCGAGGCGCTCATTAAAAATACCCAACGATTCAAATGGAAGGAATTAAAACGTGGCACTCTTTGTGATTGAAACACAACATGATTAGTTCATGGCTACAACAGGCGAGATCGCTACCACGAAGCGGCACGATCATGCCACACTGCCACCATTCCCACATTCCGTTGTCAGAAACTGGACGGCCCATCCAATTCGTACATTTACAGGAATCTAGTGCATTATCATGACAAAGCATACGCGATCAAGGGGGTAAAGTTATCTGATGACAGCCTTTTAGTACACCCGGATGTGTATTATCATTCTATTTGATATCACTTTATATCTTTGTGTTCTATGGCCTTCCCGTAAAATGCTTATGGATTGCAGTGTGTCAGGATATTGACTTGACGAATTTGCAGTAGCTTGTAATTGTCATAAACAGTGGAATGAAGCTTATGCCGAACAGACGAAAGGATCGCCTATGGCCCAGCGGGAGGACGGGAATAACCGTACGCGATGAAGGGGTCCGTTCCAAATTTCCCCAAAAGGTCTTACAGATGTCAATCATAAGCTTCGTCGTATAATCCTACGAAATCAACGTAAACGAGAGAAAAGGCAAGTGACAAAGAAGGGAAAGAAGAAAGACGTCCGAGATTCTTCGAGATTTGTATGGTTGGAATAATCAATAAAAATTAATTAGGCTATTCTGGAAGTTCCATCGGAAGGTAGAGTCGGAGATCAACAAAATACCAACCCTACAAAAGTTGTAAGGGTAATTATTAATGTACACCCCACTTTTCGTAAAATCTTATAGACTTTACTGCTGCTTTAAGTCATTCGAATAGATATGAAGCTGTTCCCCCTCAAAATGCAATACTTGAAGCTTTTACTTACTCTTTATCAACTTTAATGATTTTATAGTATTTGAAGTATTTAAAGCTTTGTATGAGTTCTAAAGAGACTATAGATAGAACTTCAAATTAAAATTCAATAAAAAGCTAACGATTTCGAATAAAATATAAATAAAATGTGACTTCTATAATACTTTCACTACTTAATATATGTTATATAAATTTTCAACCAGCGATACAATTTGATTCGTTCGAAGGCCTAAAGTAGAAATATAGTTACATGTATTTTATAATACTTACTCTTTTAACCTTCGTACTAAAGAAGAATAGAAAAACATAAATACTAAAAATATATACTATTTAATAATCAATGTCAATTCAAACAATCATTCCTATAAGGAAAAAGTGGATTTGATACATCTTCAAGCTTTATTATCATCGTCGATGTTATATCGTTTGAATTCTATATATAAGCATTACAAGATGTTAAAATGTAATCACTTTCAATGTCTGATTACATTTGAGTGATTTTTAATACCGCTCTTTGATTCACATGAAGCCTCGATTACAATTGACAAAATTACAAATGATAAGCTTAATTATATTAATTATGGTAGGGAAATCAGGATCGTGTAACACGAATTAAAGATTAAGATCCATTGTTGTTTGTGGTACCATACGACTCTTTTCAGCCCCGGGTCGGCTTCATACCTATGGAACGACCCGAGATGTGATCACCCAAACCCCTGGTTCATGGAATTTTTAAATCACGTTTTCGTGAAAATATGTCAATAGCCGCTGTTGACGGCGAAAAGGGGGAAAAGAGAGTGTTATTTCACATCTTCCATTTGTTCCTTGATATTCTTAAAGATATCCTAAGCGAATTCTCAAACATTCCTTCTCATCGAAGAATGTCACCGGGATTCTGTCATTTAAGAAGCTTATTTGCGAACAAACCATTGCTAAAGACATCTAGGTCGGCGAAGTCAGAATATTTAGTTCGTGCAGACCAGAATCACAATTTTGCTGGTAATGACGCATGACAACTGACAATGCCAATGCCAATGCCAATGACTTGTTTGGGGAATTTATTGCAGAGATTTATTCAGGTGAAAGAGTCGAGACTGGCACTAATCCCATCAGAATCCAACATCAGACGAGAAATTGGTTTGGCTAATCCACATAACAAAGCAAATCCATTCCTTCCACGCATTGTTAGCAAAACTTACTCCGTACATGAATACGCCAAGTTTCAAGCGACACCGATGGACAGCCATATCGGCTCAAACCCCGGATCAGTCTCCTTAGGTCCAAAGGGATGACCATACATTCGGGACACGAGCAACGAACTCTCCAAAAACCTTGGAATTTGCCGAGATGTCCGGTCTTCCCTCCACATCTGACGAATTCATTTATTTTCCCTTGCTACTTGCCCAATTACGACGAGCAAACATAAATAACTGTCGTATCTATGTAACCTATCAGGCCACGATTCTCAATTGACATTTTTCAACGAGCCAAACATCTATCATTTCAACCCTGTGCCTCTCGCACGCGACACCCCACTGTCAACAACACAACACATCTTGCATTGACCATCAAAGCGTTTTCCGTTCTTGTTCGTTCTTGAATCTTACTTTGCCGACTCGACCCTCCATCTATCTTCTATCATTGGCTTGACCCCTTCACCGCTAACTACATCTGACGGTCACATTACTTTCTGTTCATGCGGGCACCCGTTAGTCTTGTTTCTAGATGGTGCATTCCCGCCCGCGAAAGCGGCGCGGAACGAGGTCACCCTCGCATTGCATATTTACATGGATCATGGTGTCGCTGTAGACAGCGAATTAAAAAATTCATCTGTTTCGCTATGGGTCACAAAGCAGAGTGTCAGATTGAGCCGTGCTGACCCTACCTCGAGCCTACCTGCCTGTACCGGCCGCATTTGTCTCTTCTACCAATTATGTGTTCCCTTCAACGAAAGCTAATTCTGCCTATATGTATGTATTTGTATATGCAAAGAGATCAAACCTCCCCCCCCCCCTACTCATACACCTTTTCATGTTGCCAGGGTTGATGTAGCTAGATACAATCGGTATCAGGTTTACCAGATTCTGCTCGCATGCATCTCACCAATCGTCTTTTTCCAAACAAAGGTAGCGATGAGAGGTTCAAAGATGGAAAAAAAGATGAAATACTCCACTCCACGTCTTACACTAGACCCAGGTAAGTACTCCGTAGATAAGTCTCTGAGGGATCGACAAGTGATATACTGGGGGAACCATGCTGATTAGTTGCTAGCTGAGTGGCACTTGGTAAGGGAGCTAAAGAGCAAGGGAATACATGGAATGATCCAGCGAGTCTTATCATTCGTACCTTTATAGGCTTAATCGCCGACATATTGACAAGACTTGCTCCTGGACCATACTAAAAAGGCGAAAACCGTCCTGCAGCGGGCCGAGCAAACTAATCCATCATTTCCTTCAAGGGTTTGCTTGTGTATTAATATCCACGAGTAGTCCAACCAAGTCTTACCACTGCATTGTGTTGCCTCGATTAAACAATCATTCCTGTTACTCCGTACTACCACCCCCCCCCCAACTTTTTCATGGAGGAAATTTGCTCGCATCTTCCCCTTTTGGAAGGTTGAATTCTCAATTGTTCATTTCTCTATCCGGATTGGATACGTGATTAACGTATCGTCTACAGCTAACATTGAATTATTCCAAGGTTTTCCCTGTCGTTGACGAACAGAAAGCCACGACTGATTGGAATATTTCATCCGATGAAGTGATGAAGTGATGAATTGAGGAATTGAGGGGTCAAAACAATAGTCCACGGAATGCTTTGCACACCGCTGAAATATTTGGGACGTATCATACAGTACCCAGTACTTCAATCTAAAACGCATCTCAACAGTCCGACAATTATCCAGATCCAGGATTTTCCGAAACGATCTATCGCATACACTCTGTCTCTCTTGGAACAGCCTTCTTCTTTCAAGGAAGATAGAGATTCGTCATAAATCCCTAGTTGGTTCAGAACTCTGTACTTTCATCATTTCTATCTACCAGCCCAATTCTTGCGCCTCGTTCCCGCAGCACAAGCCCTACGACCCAACACACAATGCTACCGTACCCCTATAGATACCTGTACGGATATCCCAAATAGTAAGCACTACCGGTTCATGTGCTCTTCAGCAATTTTTCAAAGCCCAAAGGAAAACGTGAATATTACAGAAGAAGGTGCCATTCGTCTGCAATTTTGTGTGTTACATTGATATCTCTTTCGGCTCTTTCGGCTACATTAATTGAAATGGTGCATTTCGGGCGATGATACATGGGTAAGAAGTGTCGGTAGGGGTGTCAATCTACCTGTCTGGTTCTGTATGGATGGATGCAAATCCATGGACTTTGTGGGGTCAAATATTCGTGGAGTACAGAGTACACAATCAAAACTATTATTTGGAATAAGTTACATGGAACATTGAAATCAATTCCACGCTCGGTGCGCCCAATGCTGGTTTCATTCATGACTTGGTTTGGGCAATCTAGTCGTTTCTTGTATCATTTTCTATTCGCCTCATCTATCAACTTTCTTTCCCGTCGTCAGAAAAACATTCTGGACTACATTTCTCAACAAATTAGAATTGAATGATGCGGCCACTTCAAGAGGCATGTTCCCGCACGAGTCTACATTATTATGTATGCAGCAAAAACCTTATTAAGATTGAACGGCACACAAGCTACGAGTCTGCACAATACTTTCCCATCTGAATACCATACCCATACCTTGAATGTACTTGCATATTTTGGTAAGGAATGTCATCATCTGATCATGAAGGACATGAAACAGCTTTTACCGAGGATATTGTTCACTTGCACTGGATGGAGACTGGTTATTCTATTTTATCCTACGGCATGAACCAGGAGATAACGGATTTGGTAAGTAGACGGCATGCTAGCTGGCGTTGTATTGACATATCTCCATGGCGGGCGGGAATTAATTGCGGGAGGGAAGAGGCGAGCAAGTGCTTGATTAGCGAACTGGGATGTTTTTGGGTGCACACAGACGATTCCCAGATAAAGAATGAGAAATGATGATGGACGTTGACGTTTCAGGTCGAAATAGTGTATGCAAGTCTATTGATTATTCGAGTAGATAAATTATGTGGGCGAATGATGTTTCGAGAGATACATCTCATTCTGACTCGCTGTTGCATTAATCACAAACTGAGTCCATGTCCATTCGCCGATCTGATCATAGGTAGGTTTACATTGCCATGCAATTCATTCCAGCACAGCCCTCGGAGTCCACCCACGTCGGCATGATGCCCTATTCATACATATCCTACCGATCACAGAACGGTCTCGGACAATGAACCGATCGACAGGGTATTCCGAATATGATACCTCACAATTCTTCAACCCGTCAATCCAAGTTTACACACGGGAGAAGAGCGGAGACCAAAAATAATGAGGAGAATCTGATCATGAGATTAAAAATACCCCAACCGTCAGTCAGTCGGGTTGCTGTGGCAGGGTTGGTTCGGATCTTATTGCCACGCTGCGAGGAGGGATTTTTTCATGTGCCGCGTGTGTGTCTTGTTTCCCTCGGTTATGTGAAATGTTCTAGAGCGGGGGGTCGTTGAAGAGTTTGACGTGTTCATGTGTGATACAAACAAACGATTGAGAAAGAAACAATACAGATTGTTAGACGTTTGATTATTTAATATCTTGTAATAAAATTTCATGGTTTATAATTTACTTTCATTGGAGACTGGAGTTGATTTGCACGTGTGAAGATTGCACTCGTTCGATGTGATAATAAGGGCTTGACTACAGCATGAGCTGGAGGAGAGCCCCGGACAGTGGGTGATAGATTTTTCATGATGTATGATGTATGATGTACAAGGGGAGTCATCTATACATGGGCACATTGACCTTCATTTTATTGCTTACACTACCTATATACCAATCTTGAGTGAGCGGTGAGTTTTAGATTGGGTCATAAGGACACAGTAAGTGTATCACACCTCGTCACATCACATGATAGAGCCTACTCTCGCAATATGTCTAGATGTAGAAAGGAGAGTGATTTCCCATATCGGAAGGCTGAAGCGGATAGAAAAGGTTGATGATGATGATAAGCATGGTAAGGTTATATCTTGTTGGATGTAGTCGAAATATGTGTGGGAAAGAGGACGAAGTCCGCGGTGGTCTTCAATGGCATTGGAATATTTCAGCGTCGTTTTACACCAGTGTGTTTCTCTCATATCTAGATTCTATACGAAGACCTTGCGCTTTCATATTGTCAAACGATTCTTTCGTTTTTTCATATGTTATGTTGATCTTTTAGCGCAAGAATTCGCTTTTATCTCTTTGAAGTCCGGGTGTGTAGGAATGAAATGTGCTTATTAGAGAGAGTCTTGTAGAAGATCTACGATAGTCAATGTCATGAAATGTTAGAGGTGGATGTACCATACCTAGGTACGGCGTAGGTGCTGTGTAGCGCAGCGCAGAAAGTGTTGGTTGGTAGTTGGAGAGTTGGTGGTATTCTTTGGATTTGAATAAGATATCCATTGCTTAATTTGATTTGCGTGTGCACTATCTGCATGATATCGAATCTTGCTTTCTTCTCTAACGATTTCTTCATGGAACTTTGATTCCTAGAGCTAGTACAATGTGTAATGAGATGACAATTCTACACTTAGTCTCGCTCCAAAATTATGTTTTTGAGTGCTAGTTTGCCAGTATCTTGGGGTCTCAATAGTGAGAAGCTGCGCCACTCACATAGTCAGGATCATGATTATTTTTCCTTTAGAATTTCAACCAAAGACTCGGTGCCAGGGAGGGACAGACTAGTATCTCGTGAGAAGTACACATGTTGAGAAACCGAAATCAGACTAGCTGAGTTGCAGCTCGGGTTTACGAAGCCCTATCGTTTTTAACCTAGGTTCGAGAACAGCGTTGCGAGTATTTACGAGATGCTAGATGTGGCGCCGGTCGCCGTTGAGATGTTATTCGGGTTGTCTATATACTCAGGGGGATACACCTAGGTAGTCTTCACTGCGAACACCCCTCACACCATTTTACTGCTCTAGTGCTTGAAGTTTTTATGGAGAACTCATTATTGTCTTAATTTATTGATTTATTATTTCATTTGAATCTAGCATCCTCTTTCAGAAAATGTGCCAGTGCCCGTTGCGATTAGGCCACGCTGTCCATTCCGCAGTCGCCTCTCCTTTCCAAACTTGAACGGAAAAACGGAATGTGATCAAATTTTTCAAGAAAAAGGACGCGGTCAGTAAACATATCATTGTCCCAGCCTGAGAACAAGAAGAATTTGCTTGACTGTGTCATAAAATCGGGATATCCGTTACTATGGATGGGAGCAAATTTTGATCAACATTATCCGCAAGTTCTCACGCAACGCAACGCACCGTGCCAGGCTCAACTAGTATGAATATCTCAGAACAACTCTCAACGTCTTCTCTGCTTTTGTCACATGATGCGAAATTTCAATTTTCGACTTCTGTGAGATTTCAAGTGTTTCGGCAGTTGTGTTGAACCCCCCTTTCCGATTATCTCCTTCCTCATTAAAATGTCTCACATCATGTTCTCTTGCTCGGCGCAAAATTCCCCGAACTTTAATCGATTTCAGGAGTTCCCAATTGTGGAATTTTTAGGTTTTTACTAGTTACCTACTAAGAAGGATCAGTCTATGACTTTCTCGAGTGCGGCTGACACATGATTGATTGACATATGACATTCCGTTCGCATCACACTAGTATGGAAACAATGTGGAAGTATGAAGATAAATTAGTTCCAACGAGTGGACCGCTTAAAAGATTCAATCAAAAGTGTGCTAAAGTAGACGATGCATCTCCTCTAAAAGAATTATATTTGTTGTGGGACACTGATATAGAGGTTTGTTGGGATCAAAATAATCAGAAAATCAGTCTTTTAGTCCGTAAAAGACGGGCGATCTTTCGTTCTATTTCCCTGTGAATTCGGGCGGGGCTAGGGAAAGAAAGCGCGTGTCTAGGTGCGTGGAACTATATGTAATGGTACGGAAGACCATACAATTTTCCTTGGCAAATATATAGGTAGGTAGGTAAACCATATCGACGAGGTAGCGGTGACAAGGTAGCGACACCGATGTTTCCACAACTTTGGTTTCGAGGAAACTAATTATCGTAGTCTAATTTGATATCATGAATAAACAAGTTATCATGTAGTGTTTCTATAGTCTTGATCGTTGCCCACTTTGGAATTATATGTCGAGACTACCTTTGAGTTCACAGGTCAGATCTTACGTTATTCCAAATCAATTTGATATTGGGGACTTGGAAGTAATTTAATACTTTGAACTAGGAAAATTGATGGTTGGACTACAGTTCTGACTATTGGAAATCCTGCTTAATGAAATCGTGATGTTCTCGAAACCAGAGTCCGCTAGATAAAGAATGATATTGGATGGGCGCTCTTGTACGAGTTTGCGAAAGAGGAGGACTTGTATACGTCATGGGTTAAGATGCGAAGACATAGAATAATCCGCCGACAGTGATCATTATACATGCCGTAGAGTTTACGAGAATTACCATGTCTCCTGTCTCCCCCCAGGCAGTTGTCTGATGGGGATGCTAGGAAGATGGTTCAATTTTGCCATGGAAATTCATCTCATTAGGAGTTACAATATCCTTATTAATGATTTACCTGAAGAGTGCTGTGGTGTATTATGCCCACCATCTGAGAGAGCGCTTCACGCTGTAAGGAACCTGTGTAACCTACATTCCAAATTCTAGTGGTGTTATGCCTATAGGCAGTACAAGCCAGCGATATAATAGTATACTGTATAGTAGAGGCAGACCATGACCAGCAACTTGCCCAATCTCTCATATGCGATACTTGAAATTACTCTCTTTAGAAAATAAAAGTCTTATGTATGACTCTCGCTCACTTCTATTTTTCAGCGTTAAGGCTATGCTGCCATAGAGCTTCAGGACATTTATTCTCATGTCTCTCCTAAATATCTGCCAGTCCAGCATTTGCTTATTGTTCAATAATCACTCCAGCTTGTAAAGAAATATCGCCCTTAAACATGTAAACTATAACCTATGAGATTCCGAATCCATAATCAGGGTTCGTCGAGAACGCCTCAGTATCCTATGCCCTTACATCATTTTACTTCGTTCTATCTGCCTATTCTCCCAAGACTCTGTACTCTATCGTGTTTGTATTCATCTGTAGTAATCGATCATTCCCAGTCAATTTGTCCTTTGAATGAATATTGAATGCTTTACTCTTGTTTGATCTACAGTCGCCGTTTTATCGTCACTGAAGGGCCTCCATATAATTCGTTTCGGATAGTTTTGCAGATAGAATATGGATTCTGCGCAAGATTTAATTCCCATCTTTCGCGTTAAGATGACTGTGATGTGCAGAATATAAGATGGCTATCATTTATGCTTAGTCCAGTGGTAAACAATTCGATAGCACTTCCTATGGCTTATCTTGCTTCGTCCTTGCGCAATGTGATCGGTGTTTCTTGAGACTTGGGAGATCATTCTCATGTGATTGCTTTGTAGGTTTGATACTCGGAAAGGTAGGCCGCAATATCGTAAGGTCGCTCGGGCTGCTGTGCTAAAGATACTGCGTATTTGCCTTTGCAACGAAAGGTGTACTATATTTCTATGAAGATATCTTGATGCATTAGTGGATTTTATACGAATAGTAACAAAGGCCCTGTCTATGATAGTTAGGAGAATCTTGTGGGAATAGTTTGCAACCGTTTTCTAAACACATTGTAATTATTTGTGAAAGTCGAAGTTGAATCTGAAAATCTTTACGCGAAATTTTGACATTTATTTGAGTGTTTCCGATGTGTTGCGAATGGATATTGTCGATGGTGTTTTGGAATACCTCTCAGAGCAGCTCCTATACGGTTCTACATGTCGTATCCAAGAGATGTGAAAAAGAAAACATGAAAGCAAAGAAGTAGTCGTTCCACAGAGTGTGATATCATCTTCTGTTGGTAACTGGGTTTCTTTAAAGCATCGATTCGTCCAGGTATAATGCTATCATATTATGATGTTCGGCATGGAGCCCTGACATACAAGTAGGTTTTAAAGTTCCCAGAAGAGATATCTAAGGGCCTCCAGCTGAGAGAAATTTGGTGGGTTGCACTTTCCTCTTAAGCCTTGCAAATATTGAATCATGATAATGTTGTTCGACTTCCAACCCCCTTGACGAGATTGAGCTTGGTTTCTTTTGGATTGGGATTAGCCGATCACGTCTACAGCAATAGCCTTAGTTAGATTTCTATTAAAGTAGACCTTTATATCCTTCTCATTCCTATCTATTCGTATAAGCGAAAGGGGTGTCTAAGAATTGATGTCTAATAATCTTGCCCACCTAATGCTCCACATCTGATTCGAGTACCAAGCCAGTCAGAAAAAAGGAAAATCAACCCCAGCTTATATATTATTCCAAATTTTCAAAAATCTATCTTTGATGATGAACATTTATCGTAGACATCAAAACAGAAAGGTGTACTCATCCAGGCGTACACGTATGCCATCTCGCTTATTGCTATACCACGGATGGAGATGCATACTGATGTTGCCTAAATCACCTTGGAAGCTCTCGAAATCATTCACGATTTATTTTCATCAATCAACAATCACAGTGATTTTTCCATCATGATGTCCGATTTGAGTTCTGATGATTTCGAAATGATTGAATCCGAAGACGTTATCAAACAAATGCTTGTGGATGAAAAACCAGATCTCGACGAGATCAGGAAATGCTGAGCCCTACAGATTACCTAGCATTATCCAGCGAGTTCAATCGCCATGCTTCATCTAAAGCTCGCAATACAGGGGAATTGATTCGAGAGACTTCACAATTTGATCAGTGGTATTCATCTGCTGTCCATGGGTCTATTTGGATCAAGGCAGTCCCGGGTGCGGGCAAGAGTGTCCTTGTAGCCTCCATGGTTCAATCGCTTTCGGCCAACGAGTCCGTTAATGTTCTCTTCTTTTTTCTTAGACAAATTATCGAAACAAATCGCACTTCTCGTGATCTTTTGCGAGATTGGTTGTGCCAGCTTTTGCCCTTCAGCGAAGCCTTGCAATTGCACCTGTTTGAGCATGTGAAAAATGAACAGAGCCTGGAAAGTATTACCACATCACATTTGTGGAAACATCTCTTGACTCGCCTAAGAAGGCTCAAACGAGTCTGTTGTATCGCTGATGCATGAGATGAGATGAATATGGGCGAGGACTTCCTCTCAGCTTAACGCCTTGGGATCATTTGGACCCGCTCAAGTCAAGGTTCTTTTAACCAGTCGACCAAAACGATATCTCCAACAAGCGTTCAAAAATCCCCAAGTTATTTACGTCAGTCTCGAGGAGGAACTTGTGAAACGTAATATACATCTGTTTTCGTTCTTCAGCGCGTAAAGCAATTTGCTGAGGATGACATCAGTGGGAACATGCAAAGTTTTATCCAGAACACTGTATGTGAGCGGTCTGAAGGCATTTTCTTGTATGCTCGCCTGATGCTTGATCAAATCAGTCAGTCTATCAAGAGCAAAGAACACGATGAGGTTTTAATACGAGAAGTGATAGTTAAATTACCCGTGGGTCTTGAAGAGATGTACATTAAGGTAATTATCGATCATGCTTCACTTATAAACATCCATCAGGATACACAAATCATCATTTTACAACTAATTACTCAGTCAGCACGACCGATGCGCCTGATAGAATTTGCTAAGGCTATTCAACACAATCCTCACCGTGCCAAAAATGGCAGAGATGCTAAAGAAATCGTCAGATCTAGCTATGGTGCACTTCTCAAAGTAATGGAAGATGGGGTTGTGCAAATTTTGCATCATTCTTTTACAGAATTTCTTTTGGATGGTAATCGAACTATACAAAAGTTGTCAAAAGTTCCCATTTCCCGGTTATCGACGCGAAAAATGCCCATTGCGAGATTACGCTTCTATGTATTAGCTAAGTCTAAGGATGTACATTTTCTTCATACCCAATCTCGAATGATGCAAAAGATGGTGGAGGTAACTTGGAACAATCCATGCGACTATTTGGCTTTGGTCGATCGTTCGTACAATTTCCACTTGCCAAGTATGCTGCAAAGAACTGGACTTATCATGCCAAAGCGTACGACTGTGAAGATACAGGTTTCTATGAGAAACTGGAAGAATTCTGTAAGTCTGAGAGCCAGACATTTAAAGCTTGGTCAAGGTTGGCCGGCGCGTTGAGAAACTCTCCCAATACATTTCGTTTTTGGCCACAATTTGGTCAAGCTCTAGCATCTGAAATGACTTCCCATCTTCAAATAGCTTCTAGTTTCGGGCTAGGCTGTTGGACACAAAGACTGTTAGAAAATGGCGCAGATGTTGAGAAACGAGATAGTACTGAAAACACTCCTTTGTTTTGGGCGGCTAAATGAGGTCATAGCGAAGTTGTGAGTAGATTACTGAATGCTGGTGCTAAGCCAAACATCGGCGGACATGATGGACTGAAGCCTCTCCATGTTGCAGCCTTAAATAACCATGTAGGAGTGGTTAAGCTCCTGCTTGGCGCTGGTATGTTAATTTCCCTGATCATGATACCCAAACATGGACCATACTTCAAAAATGGAAGCCTTTTGGTTCTTGAACTCCTTTGTGATGTCGAATTGGTCCTATATATCAAACTGTGATCAAAATCTTAGAGTGTTGGAGGTAATTTTCCAGAATATAATAATAATAATAATATTCTAGTAATAGTGGAAGACTTAGTCACTTTAGCTTGAAGGACAAATCGAATATAATATAAGAGTTGAATTGAAGACAAATTATAAGAAAGAGCTTAATTGAGCTGAATTTGCTTGCTTTTTCCTAGGTTTTCTTTAAAGAAATCCTAGGTTTATATAGTTTATAATGAAATTCTAGTAGTTTCTATGCTTATAAATAAGATCGATTTAAACCGAATCTTATAGAATTATTTTATATTATAAAAGAAAAATACAATCAATCAATTTAGTTAATTTATTAACAATCTTTCATATAATTCCATCTTATTCTATTTCATTATAAATCAATTTGATAAGAGATATAGCTATATTATAATATAATAATATAATTTTATAATATAAAATCATATTATACTTATATTATTAATACATATATAGCTTGATTAATAAGATATTAATAAGTGATTTAGTATACTTATTATAGAATCTCACATAGAGCTTCGTAAAGATTGCAAACATCCCTATCTTGCCTTCCAGTACTGATTGTTGGGCACATTAGGCTTGATTTTTTGTCTTTTCTTCTTTACTGACCTCCCACAGGTGTGTCTCCTCTGACCGCTCGGATGGAAGGCACAGCAAGCCGCTGTGGAAATGCTCCGCCAAATGCCAGTCAATACCCACTAATGATCGCCAGTAATGCCGGCCATGTCGAAACAATAACTGAGATGATTCCGTATCGCGAGCCAAAAGAACTTGAAGAGGCTTTATTGCGAGCAGCTCATAATGGACATCATGTTTTGGTTTCTACTCTCTTGGGAAAAGCAAATGTTTCTCCCAACGCAAAAGCGCCCGTAGGGTATGGTGATATGGGCTTTATAAGAGGCCAGACTGCCCTAATGGTAGCGACGAGTTCCATTGAAGCAAGATCTGTAAAGACCATATTGAAGAAAGGAGAGATGCCAAATTTAGGCAGTAATCACTTAACGGAACTTGGCTCAGCTCGTCGCGTTATACACAGTAGAAATCTACCAGAATCGGGGGATGGAACGCCACTCCATGATTTTGGTATAGCTGCGATCAATCAACATAGTTGAGCTGCTGCGAAGGAAATCTTAGGTATACTTTTGTTGGCAGATGCTGATCTTGAAGCCCGAGATAACAACGGCGACACTCCTCTGCTACTTACAGTTTCACCCAAAAGTCATAGAAATTCTCAAATTGCTCTAGAGCTTTTATTCTCGGCTGGTGCTGACCCAGTAAATAGAAACTGTTCTTTGATGATTCCTTCTTCATCATACCTTTCAGTCCATTTTCTTTTATCCTCTCAAAATCCCTGTTTACTTCTATATATGGGATAGAACTCGATCTTCACTGCAATCAATTCCAGACATTTATTTACTCTATAATAGTGCACCATGAACTCTGATGACGAGAATTTGCTTCACCGAGCTTGTGAAGAGCTATCGTCGACTGACCTTGCCAAACAAGTTTTGGCCTTCGGAGCAAACCCTAATCAAGCTCGAATCTCAGATGGAGTAACTCCGTTACATTGGTACGCACGTATCATTCTTTTTATATTACTACTGATCTGGAACATAATTCTATCTTGAACCTAGTGTTCTGTTCTAACAGAATGAATTTTGTTCCATCATTTCGGCCCATGATGTGTTATCGAATCCAATGATTTCGGGTTTCGAGATTTGCTATATGAAACACTCATAATCAGGAGCTTATCCATAGTTTATTTGGGACTAATATCATGCTAGTGTGGTGGATGACAGACACAAGCCAACCGAGCTCATTGAATTGCTTGTCAATCATGGTGCTGATATCAATGTCCAAGATATTAACGGAGATATCAACGGATATACTACCCTACATCGTGCTTACAGATCCTCATTAGTTCAACAGGTGATCTGATCCCAACTATTTTGAGCCTTTCACCTGATGTCAATATCCAAAACAATCTTGACGAAATATGTTTGCACAATGTATAAGTTTGTAGATTCTGGGCTTGTAAGCGCTATAATCGACACTGGTATGAATCTAGAAATACGTGATTGCAAAGGGATGTCGGTCCTACACAAAACTATTGCTGAATCTCTAGATACGAATATGGAGATGGTAAAAGTGCTTTTGGATCACCCGAAGAAGGCTTCTATCTCCGCTCGAACGTGGCAGGGCAAAACAGTGATGCATTTGGCTTGTCACTCCCATAAATCTGTTGAGCTTCTTAAGATATTCGTAAACCACAGAGCAGATCTCAATTGGATCGATAGCTCGAATGGAAATACTTTGCTGCATGAGGTAGCGGCACATTTTGACGGAGATCTAAGGGACATTGCTTTGATTGAATACCTGCATGAAAATGGGGTCTCAGTCGATGCAAAAAGCTATCGACAACAGATTGCGGTACATATTATGAGGATAGTTCATGTTGATTGCTACAATTCTCTAAGTATAGACTGCAAACAAACTTTCGTATCAGTTGTTCGTCGGCTATACCCTAAATTCGATGTAAACGCGAAGGATATAGATGGGCACACGCCTCTTCCGCTATGCATGCACTAGTTCCGAGTATTTAGTCTTTGCTCTAATATTGGCTGGCGCCAATTTGAATACTCGGTCTTTGTATGGGCGCACGCCGCTTCATTTTGCTGCTCGCGGACGGCTGTGTGGTGTTTTATCGATGTTGCTCAACCATGCTCAAAGAACTGGTTGCATCATAGATATCAATGCCCAGGATTCAGATGGCATGACACCTCTTCACTTTGCCTGTATATCAGGTAGACCGGAAACCGTGAGTATTTTGATCTCAGCTGGTGCTAACATCGAAATAAAAACCAGGCAAGAAACGTCGGGCACAACTCCACTAATGGCATGTGCCATGTTCCTCGAGGAAGATAGTATCTGGAAATTGCTACAAAAGTGGAAGCTCACCAAACTCGACGCTGAAGACCCTTTCAGAGTTCTCTCAAGCCCTTCTGGGACCATGGGGCCTGAGTCTAAACTGAATAAAGCAACACAACATATTGCGTGCCGTATTATTTCCCATTGATGAATCGGTTTATCTCATTGGGTGGCTCTATAGACGCGCGGAATATTGCGGGCATGACACCCTTACTGTTATATCTAGATGCCGGAGAAACTTCAGCTCATTTACCATGGTATGAAGAGCATAGTGCTGACTTCAAGGCTAAGAATAATGAAGGAGAAGGAGCACTACACATAGTGGCAAAGCAGGAACATTTTTCAAGAACACCGTCATCGTTTAGCGGAGAAGATGAGAAAGTAAAAGCCAAAAGACATTGGTTTGGGGTGTTGGTAAAAAAGTATGGTTGTGAAGTATTGGACGAAGACTCGAAGGGGAGAACGGCGTTGGATATTGCGGCTGCAGTGGAAACGATGAGATTTTGAAATTACTCCAGAGGATACTCCAGAGGAGGAAATATGAGACTTAGATCTCATGATCTTGCTTTTCTTTTTATCTGAATGTTAATCTCTCTTTTCTCACTGTACCCTCTTTCTTATGCTTCGTCTGACTTCCGCGTCAGCTTGACCACGTTGATGAATACAATCAATTGAGCGTCTATTTATGAAAAGTGACAACTTCGAAACGAACAGAAAATTTTGATATCGAGGCCGAGTATCATTTCATAAACATGAGAAGAGTCAATTCTGCGGTCAAATATAATAATAAGATATCTTATGATTGAATGACAGGACTCGCTGGCATCCTGATTAGAAACTATCTTGAAGATCTCATCTTACCTAGATACGTAAGACAAAGCAAAATATCCCTCTCTATATTTCTGAGCTATCAAAGAAGAAAACGACACGCCCACTGGACCTTATTTGCGCTGATCCCACTCACTCGGTGATCTACGCTGTCTATCAAGTCAACCAGGCAAATGAGTAGTACTACATAGGTTTATTGACAAAGTATTGGGGTGTATCTTTCGAGTCCCCAACCAAGACCAAGAGAAATGATGCTGATCCACAACATACGTACTCCGCATTGGAGGCAGCTGGGTCTCAAGAAAAGATGAACATCAGATAATCGGCGAGGGAACAGGACCGGGAGAAATGAGGCAAATGGCGGGTTAAAAAGATATGGACGGGGATGTCGAATGAAATGATGGGGTGTAAATATTTTGGTTTGGCAGGGGTGAAATTAGCTTTGTCTGTGTGCCGCCCGCCCACTTTGTTACTAGATTACGCATGGGGTGTGAGAATAGCGCAACAAACGAGTATGAGATTTTGGGAGGGGGGGGATGCGTCCATTGTGTTGTTTGGCATAGTTGTGACAGATGTAATTTATGTAGGTAATTGTTGCGATTTGAACAGTCTGATGATAATTTCTAGTTAGTTAACTAGTATTTTGGATTCTATTAGTCACGGAACTCTAAATAACCTACGACTTTCTACAGCCGCCATTAACCTTACAACACCGATATTCGCCGCGCGCGTCTTTCTTTCTTCCTTCTATCGCGCGACTATCGTTAGAGTCCACAAATAGGAAGGACATGCATTTATTCATTCATTTACCCCTGAGATTATATACACAATTCCTATACTCTACCCCCATGCTCATATTATCAATTCATCAAACTACCGCTACATAAATCTATTATAGACGTTGCCGCATAGCAAACTCAAAATTACGCCGAATAATGAAGCCGTCAAACACGGGATGACAATGCACCCCAACATACTTTGTGCGATAACTCTCACAACAATTCTGAGTCTCCATCCTCACCCCACCGCATTTACTTTTCATCTGCTCGATGACATAATACCAATCCCCAGAGGAAGAAGAGCAGGGATAAATCCATCCGAAACCTCCTCCCCATTCATGCTTTTAAACTCTCGCTTCCATGGCAGAGTTTCCATTTCTTCCATTTCTTCCATCACTAATGCTTGAATAGGCCAAGTGAGCTTATCACGGCCAAGTTGAAACAAACTTCGACGTCTGAGAGAGTTCCACAAATACACCGAACGGCCAGTTTCCATAACCTCCATAACGTCCGAAGACGTCCCGTCCAAGGAATACCCCATGTTTGGCGATTGGCTGCGGCCTTGAACAGCCAACACCCCTTGTACGCGTTGCAACTGTGCTTGACCACTCGGCACTCCCTATTCCCGCATTATAAGGTTCGGATCTTGCTGTGCCTACAAAGTGACGTGATAATCGCTGCCCGAATAGTAAATCCGGGGGTGCATACCAAGATATTATGGAGTGTAATCTTGGTCACGTTGTTGGGAGAGAGATGATCTTGGTTCCTGCTTGGAATCCTGATTAATGTTCCTGCTGGAATCTCTCAGATCTGCGAGTCATTGGTACTCGCCCTCTCCACACATCTTATACTGTTTGTTGGTTGGTGTTATATAAAGGATGAATATTCCACTTGTTGGTAACGCCATTCTTTTTGATTACTTTCTCATTATCAGATGATCTTTTGTATTACTGCGTTGGAATCATTCTTGTACTGCAAGTAAATCTATATTCTTCGCACGGATCTTTTCAAAAAATATGGCTCCTTGGTTTGGTATGAGGGGAGGATGGCTCACATTCTGGGTCACGGTTGCTTGCGCAACTGATATGACTTTGTTTGGTTATGATCAAGGTGTTTTCGGTATGTCCTATGTCTATCTTCTCCTCCTTCATCATCTTTTCTAACCGAGTCTAGGTGGTGTCATCGTCACTGAGGATTTCCTCAACACTCTCAATCTCAATGGCAAAACCGCTTTGGTTGGAACGATTACTGCTCTTTACGATATTGGTTGTTTCGTAGGAGCCATCGCCGCCGTCGCCTTTGGTGAAAAACTCGGTCGCAAAAAGACCATTCTATGGGGAACAACCATCATGACCATTGGCGCCATTCTTCAAATCGCAGCCTACGATGTTCCCACGATGATCACGGGAAGAATCATAGCTGGTATCGGGAATGGTATGAATACATCCACGGCACCCGTTTGGCAATCCGAAACCTCAAAAGCTAGTCTTAGAGGTAAACTCGTCGTCATCGAAATGATTCTCAATATTGCTGGGTTCTCTCTTAGTAACTGGGTTACATATGGATTTTCTTTCCTTTCCGGTCCAGTCACTTGGAGATTCCCACTCGCCTTCCAATTGATCTTCATCATCATCTTATATGCCACTGTCCCTTGGCTTCCCGAATCTCCTCGTTGGTTAATCGCCCACGGAAAGGTCGATGAAGGTCGTCAAATTATTGCTGATCTCGAAGATCTCGATATCAAAGACGATCGTGTAAGCAACGATGTGAACGATATTATCTACGCTGTTGAATACGAAGAAGCGCACGGAGTCTCTTGGTTTGATCTTCTCCGTGGCAAAACCGGAGAAGCTGGAACCTCAACTATTCGTCGTCTTATCCTAGGTTGTGGAACTCAAGCCATGCAACAACTTAGTGGTATCAACGTAACATCCTACTATCTCCCCACCGTCTTGATCTCCTCCGTCGGTCTCTCAAACACACTTGCCCGACTTCTCGCCGCTTGCAATAGTGTATCTTATCTTGCCGCTTCGCTTCTCGCCATCCCGAATGTAGAGAGATGGGGAAGAAGAAATCTCATGATTTATGCAGCTGCCGGTCAAGCAGTCTGTTACCTACTCATTACCATTCTACTCCGCTTCAACGAAATGGAAGGCTATGCTCATCAAAAAGAAGTCGCTTCTGCCTCTGTCGCATTCTTCTTCGTCTATTACCTCTTTTTCGGGTTCGGTTGGCAAGGTGTTCCCTGGCTTTATCCTACCGAGATCAATTCTCTCGCCATGCGTACTAAAGGTGCTGCACTTGGTACTGCGACAAATTGGATCTTCAATTTCATGGTGGTGGAAATTACACCGATTGGAATCGAATCTTTGAAATGGAAATTTTATATCATATGGACGATTTTCAATGCGTCGTTCGTACCAATTGTTTATTTCTTCTATCCTGAGACGAGTGATAGAACTTTGGAAGATATCGATAGACTGTTCAGAGAGAATCGAAGTATCTTGGTATGCAAAGATGCAGATGCGATTAGCAGAAAGAGACCAGCTAGATATTTTGAGGCGGAAAGAATCGGTACTGTGGAATCAGACGAACGAAAGAGTTTGGGTAGTAGTGGAGGTAAGAAGGGGAGCGAACTTGGAGGTGTATTGGCTGAACATGATGAGGTGGTTAGATATTAGGATATGGGGGTGAAGAAAGAAGAGTGGTTCTTGTGAGTGGATATTTGGATTGGAGTTTCTTGGTTGTTTTTTGTGAACTTATACATACATGCATGCATGTATGTATGAGTGGGGGAATATAAGTATGAGCATACCTAAGCATAAGCATGGAGTTTGGATGGATGGATAAATACCTCGATGAGCATTTTTCGGTGGGATATTAATGTACCTATATCTTAACAATATTCACGAAATTAAAAGTAAAAGTCTACACGTAAAAAATGCAATGAGAGAACCAAAACACTGAATAAAAAACTTGTGAATCTCGTTTTCAGAACTTCGCCTTGTAGAAGTGGACTCGCAATAAATTCCCTCACTACGGATAAGCGTAGTACAAATCCGAGTAGAAACACGAAGCTTCAGGTTCCATTGCATTACCTTTGACATTTATATGCGCCTGTGTTTCCCAGGAAGATAGCAATATCCCTCAAGCCCGCCACGATCCGATCCTCATAACCATCTCCATCCAGCGTATACACCAACCCAACCCTACGAATTCACGATTTCCATTCTTTCATCTCTCAGATTCTTGGCTCAGTACGCATTACCCAAGGAATAACCTCACATCATGAATTTTCTGGAAATATCAACGATAATTTTATATCTTGAAAACTTCGGGTCTTTTGGTAAGTTGATATACTACTACTATATCAGTTTCTTGGGAGTGGGGATATTTGAGAAGGGGGGGTTTGGGGTTAAGAGGGAAGGGGGATGGAGGGGAGATTTAGGGGGGATGTAGGGGAAATCTAAGTGATGCAAATGAACACCAAGATGCAAAGATATGATATGTAGTTCTGTTACTAGGAAATCTCAATTTATCACTCGTTATCAGCGACCCAAGCTGCCCCTCACCCACTTTCCAAATCTCAAGCCCCGTCCCCTCAAAACCCTATCCCCTCAAAACCCTGTCCCCTCAAAACCCTATCCCCTCAAAACCCTATCCCCCCAAATCCCCATCCCCATCCTCTATCCCTATTCTTTATAACCCTACTCCCTCTTCTCTAAAACTCTATCCCCATTCCCATCCCCAAAACCCCTTCATTCTCATTCCACCCCATCTCACCTAACAACAATCCCTACATCCAGACAACACTCATCACCCACCGCTTCACTCTTTTATTTTCTCTTTCCTCTTTCGTAATAAACCAAACATCCTCGCTCTCCATATCCATATCCACATCTACATATATTCTCTTAATAATCAACATACACTTTATCTACTTCCGCGGTTTATGTTTGTTTTTCTTGCTGCTGTGCTTATTTTTGTTTTATCCGAGCAATCTGGGGTTTCGATGTATGATCCCGTTCCCGTTCTTTCTCCCGCTTCTTCTTTCCCCCCGCCCCTCTTCATAAACACCGGAAAAAACAAAACTCCCTCCCCCCTTCCCCAGCAAAACAATTCTACTTCCTCCCTTACACTTGCCAAATTTCTCCCCATTCCCCGCACCACCCCCACACCTCTCAATCCCCTGCAAAATACTCCTCACCGGATAAAGCAATTTCTCCTCCTCGCCCTCCTCCTCTCCATCCCCCCAATACAAATACCCATTTCACAGCCATGTCTCCTCATAACCTTCCTCCCCTACAATCCAACGACCACTGCACATTCCAACCTGAACCTCGCAACAGCAACACGCTCCTCGACTATGCTAGTGGAAATCTGCCGCCGAATCTCAAAATCAAAATCAAAATCAAAATCCAAGAGCCGGGGTAGAAATTCATATCTAGCACAACAATCCCAGATTACAATCAACCATAAAGAATCAAGAAAAAATCTAAAAACTCCACACCAAAACCCATTTGAAGAACTGCACGAGCGAGCTTAAGAATGCAAATGAGACCAATAGATCAGCATCTCCATCTATCTCTCTACAAACAAGAGATGGAAAAAACATCGGAATCAACGTGAGAAGTGACTGACTGACTTACTCACTCACCTATCGAGCCGTCTAGCTCGTAACACAGCCCGGCAAATCTTCCAACTGCTCATGCATTTCAGGTCCATCTAGCGAAAATATCTTCGCCTGTAAAAATCCGAAGAATTCAAAACAAATCCTTCCCTTCCCTTCACTTTCCCCAAAATCCTTAGGACAATCTAGTACCTATAACTTATAGACAAAGAAACACAGAAGTAGAAGCAGAAGCCAATACTTCCCCTCCCCCTTTTCTAACCCTTAAATCCATTACATCTTTTGCAAAATTCAAAAGGTTCAAAAATAAATAAATAAGTAGATGAGTATTTATAAAAGTATCAAATCATTATATTCTATTCATTCTATTAATTCTATTCATTCTATTCATTCTATTCATTCTATTCATTCTATTCATTCTATTCATTCTATTCATTCTATCCACCCACAGCACAGCAATCCTCTCTTCCAAGAAAGGTAGGGTATATATACAAACCAACCCTACTACTTTCCCATGAATCCGATACTGCAGCCTAAGTTGTAATGCCGAAAGTGTCAGAGACGTATAATTATTCCAGCCGCACAGATATCTTGATTTCAGATACATACATGCGTAGAGAATCCCATCATCAGAAATCCCACTGTACTTCATCGCATGCGCGCAAATCATATACCTCGAGTTGAATAATCACATGTATCTTTCAGGGTACTATTCTCATCATGATCAACTCCTAATACTATACGATATCATTAATCTCCCCGTGAAAATGACACGAATATAAAGAGGTCAAAAGGAGTGGCGTTACGGAAAATGTATGGTCATAAGCGAATGAGCATACCCAGGTATGATAACCCAATCCAAGGTCAAATGAGAGAGAACTCAACGATCTCATATGCAGATGGTTTTGCAC